CCAGCGGTGATGTGTGATAAAATAACGACTTAAGGTGGGTGCTACTTTGAAGAACCTTCTAGTCAGCGGTAACTGAATGACTACTGAAAGTTTCTTGTTGGGCGGTTGTCGAAATAATTTTGTTGTTGTCTAAAGTTAGTATCATGAACTATAAAAGAATAATCCACAAGAATTTCGGATTACCGTAAATAATATCTTTCAATAGAATACCAGATTCCCTTGCACACTTACTTTTGTTCAGTTAATTAGCACCAATTGTCTTACCAGTTCTCATTAGGGAATACRACTTTAAATAAGAAAGAAAATTCGCGAGGCATTATGGTAGTGGTAGTCAAATGACGCCATCATGGAAACGTCCTATTTGTAGATAACGACTAGTTTTGGAACGTCCTATTTGCTGGTTTTTCTTCTTATGAGTAGTTTTCAATTTCTCTTTCAGATTTAATCCAAAAAAGCCTCGTGGGAGATTCGAACTCCCGACCCCTGGTTTACGAGACCAGTGCTCTAACCACTGAGCTAACGAGGCCTTGTTCTATCTCTATTTTTCTAAAACAATTAATCATAGTTTGGAAAATATCTCCAAGAAACGCAAACTTCTTTGCGTGGAATTTAGTCACAATGCACCGGGCGAAAAATTTTCTTCCACGTGTCACGTGATCCAAGGCAAAATACGAAGAGAATAGTTGAATTGGTTCATCAGTATTGTTTTCTTCTTTATYCAACTTCTTGTTTGTTTTCTTGATTCAAAGCTTGAGATTATGACTTGGGGTTAAMAAACTTGGAAAAAAGGCATGATCTTCAAATAAGTACGGATCTACCTATAGAGCTTTTAAGTGACTATGWTTTTACACGTATGGAAAACCTCTTGCGGGTCCAAAACAAAGAGTAGTTCTATAAACAGTTTTCTTATTTTTTCTTCATGACAGGATTTTTTGTCCAAGTATAATTGTTTCTGAGATGGAGGCTAAATMATTGAGGACATTTTTCACTTTATTTTAGCACTTTTTGTGAGCAGTTGGACCAGGAAATACGTTAATATATTAGTATRTTAAGCCCCTTGTGCGAAAAGTAAACGATAAAAAGCATAGATATGATGGATAAATGATCAGTAATGTTTAGTATCAATGAAACGAATTTCTGTGAATTTACGTTCGCTGCATTAACGATTGACCGTTTCACAATTCAATCAGATAGCAAATTATRAAGAACTTGAAACATTCAAAGAACATTTTTCATACTTCAATTTAAAGATAAATTATGCGAAATTATTTGCAGTACTTGGTGTTTTTTTTTTGTTCTTTGCTTTCATTGTCAGCGTTTCTTTCACGTTGGTTGTGTTACCATGGTCATCAGCTGTGACGTATTTGAACTGGGTTGGAATTGAGTATTGAGTTGTGTTGCGCGGGGAAATCTAAATTAATTGCAAATCCATGCCACGGCTTTGGTTTATCTAAGGGAGGACGAGAAACATTCGCACAAAATGCCAGGAAAAATGATCAGCTCTCTTTGTGTATTGGTTATCAATGTAGTATCAGTGTTTGGGTTTTTTATTCTTTACTTTCACTTCACGGTTCAAACCTCTYTTTTTATCGCGGAGAAATTTGCCTCACGACAAGCGACAGGATTAATGAGGCATTATCAAAACAAGCCAACTCAACAAGAAAGRAAAATCGGAAAATTCGCAGTACACGAGTGGAACAACCTATGTAAAGGCACACTCCAACACTTGTTTAAGTCTACAGTGTTCCCAAAGCATCCGGACACTATTTCCGTCGTTAGCAAATCTTTTATCAGTTCTAGAAATCAGAATTCTGGGAGACGTTTGAGTGGGTATTTGCATGTACCGGAGACAGGGATTTACAAGTTTCTTCTCAAATCTAGTGGAGGTTCAGAGCTCTGGCTTTCGGAAAGCGAGAATCGYAAAGACTTGGAACTTGCCGCAAGAGTTCACCCAGAAAATATCGAGCTAGACAATGTCGAGCAAAAATTTCAGTATTCGACAGAAATATTCTTGAGCGAGGATATAAGCCATCCTGTTGAAATTTTTCATTTTGGCGATTTTTTAGAAGTTCGCTGGATTCAACCTGAAGAACACGAATTTGAAGTGATACGAGAGAAGCATATATCACACGACACTAGGAGCACAGGACATGAAGATCTAGCCGCTTGGTTCTTCAAGAATAAGGACAAGCAGATGGATGAGAACACTGTCTTGAAATTTTCATTGATATCTTTTATAAGTCCAGCATGGGTAAGGAATAAAGTTATGCCAGTGTGTTCTTATGGTTTAAAGGATGTTGAATCGGGGGAAAAAGCATCGAATTTTGCGGTTTTGAAGACAAATATAGAAGTATTGTTTAGTGATCCTGATGGACATGAATTGGAAACATGGAAGGAGAAAGCTGAAGTAAGACAATTGGTCGAATTTTATTTGAAGGGATTAGAAAAGGCATATCCGAAGTAGGTAACTATGAAAAATGATAAAGGCTTTGAATATTATGAATGCTAAATGATATGTAAATGTAAAAAGTACCATTATTCTTAAATATCTTTGAATACTATTGATTATGATTATCATCATTGGAATCATGGATTGCTAATCGTTATCTAATATTTCTCAATCAATCAATGAACATCAACTCAGTTAAAATTACCATTCATGATTACTGATACTTGAATTGCATCAAACAACATCAACGTCATCATCAAACATTGCCATCTTCAATGGACATCATCATCATCATCATCACCGCCATCACGGCATTCCTAATCATCATCATTACTTATCTTCATCTCCACTATCATTATTATTCATCAATCACTATTATGATTACTATGATGATGATTAAYATCATCATCAACAATATCATAATCGTCATCACCATAATTCTTAACATCATTATCGGCATCAACACAAAACAGCAACAACATTTCTATAATTATACGTATACAAAATCAAAAAAAGTAAATGAAAAATAGATAAATAGTTTCAAAGATTTAAAAAAAAGTTTTGCATAATGCATGAAACATAAACTTATGTTGTTTTTTTATGTCAAACTTAGGAGATTCAAAACAAAGCGAGTTTACAAAGTAGAGAAACTTTCCCTCTCGAAAAACCAAGAACCACTTTACCTGTTGGAGATTGAACTAGAAGTAGATGGCCTGGATTATCCTGAACGAGCTGTAGAATACATCCACAAACCCAATGCTTCTCATTTCTGTTATCCAGAAGGCTTCAAYTGGAACAAGGAAGCCTTTATAAATGTGATCGTAGTAGTCAAACAGGAAGCAAAATGGTTCAAATTATTCATCGATAGACTTGAAAAAGCCTTCGAGGACGCCTTAGAAGTGGATTTGCACCTTATTGTAGTAGATTTTGAGGAAACAGGACTTAATATTGAAAGTAATTTAAACAAAACAACACTAAAACACAGRTTCACAGTTATCAAGATGGACGGACCTTACTCAAAGTCACGTGGCTTTAATAGGGCAGCCTTATTGGTTAAGGGGAAACATCCAATCATATTAGCATGCGATGTTCACGTGGACATTCCCGACACCCTCTTCGAAGATACGAGAAAGGTGCGAACAATATACGATTTTGRAAATAGTATTTTAAAAACTTTCTTTAAAACTTCTTATTGTTTGGATTTTTTCATTTATTTTTGAACTGTTTTTGAAATTGTTTAGACATGACTAAAACGAATGCAGGTTCAAACTTAAATTACTCCAAGACTGAATGATTTCGAGAGCATTCAAAAGTAGTTTATTCTGTATTGTTGTTTTTAATTTTTTGGCAGCACTGTATCGAGGGACGCATTGCTTTCGCTCCTGTCGTCTTTCAGCTTGACTGCAGTTCACATCCGGGGATCCAAAACCCAAGTGGATCGTGGTGCTTCCATGGTTACGATGTGATTGGCATTTACAAGAAGGATTGGACCAGGATTTCAGGTAATATCCAGTATATATATTCCATAATTATTCCACGTATGTGAATGGATAGAGTTTTATTTGAGTTAAAGAGGTACAATTGCCTTGACACTCAAATGGCTTTTGYTCTGAACCAATAGGAACCACGGTACCACATTTCTAACTCTTGTTAACGCTTTTTTTAAGGAATGGATGAAACTCTGTTTGAACAGAAAGCGGACTGGGACCTAGTTCATAGAATTAGGAACTCAGGGCTATWTGTAACACGAGTCAAGTACCCAGGCCTCTACCGTTACTACATGCCAGCACGGMCAAAAACCGTTGAGAAGCTAAATAAGGAGCTGGGATATCTACAGAAGGATGTCTGATCCAGGAGATCCAGATTATGGGATATTTTCCTGATAGCCGGGAGYTCTTTAAGGCACATGCGCACGATGAAGATGCTGGACTTCTATTTAGCAGAACCATTGTCGTAACAGTTTTGTTTAACGATTTTTAACGAATTCTCTTCGATCAAGATATAGACWGTTTTATTCTATGTTCAAACGCAGCAAGCAGCGCCATGATCGTAAACCCCGTAATGAGTCCAGCATTTTGAAGAATTATAACAGTTTTCTTATTATTTATACTTGTTGAAGCAGAAAGTAGAAGCTCTGGAACCTGGAGATTAACAGACCGTTATGATTTTATGCAATACAATCGAGATAAATAAGAATGCACTGCTTTAATTTCAAATACTACACACCAATTCGAAATATGGCGACCGAGTTTGAATTGAACTATTGTTCTGGACTGACTAACGACTGACTAGCCTCGTGTTCACGTGCAAACATAAAGGCGTTTTCACATGTATGAGAGGCTAGTCAGTCGCTAGTCAGTGTAGAACAATAGTTATTCAAATTGGTCGCCATATTTCGATTCGGTGTTTAGAATATTAATCAATGTCCAAAACACCGAGGCATAATATTTGATCCATTGTTACGAACACCCATATTTATATACGTTTTAAAGTTCTTCTTTTTAGGTAAGGAAGAAATAATTTCGAAGGGAGTAAACGCAGGAAATAATAGGGCAACGTTACGAAACACCACAGCCCTTTTGTTCCCTAGAGGTTTAAAGCTGGGAATTTTTCACGCTTACCATTTCTGCAAATGCTATAAATAAGAACATTCCAGCRGTAACCGCGAATATCCAATCAGTAAGACTGAGTGTCGTACCCAGTAGCGCTCCGACTATCAGACCCGCGTACATGGGACTGAGCGATAAGGCCTGGAAGCACAGTCCTCTTTTCATTGTGAGGCCGCTTGATACYAAAATTGCAAAATCACCTGGGAATGACAAGAAAAACGAATTTTAAAAGGTCCTCTAAAAGTGCGGGACACGGCACGGTACAATTCGTAAGGTACTGACCTATTACATGAGGGACCTCGTGAAAAAGAACGGCTAGTGACGTACTAAGTCCATCTGAAGCAGATTTGGAGAAAGCACCACCGATAGCCATTCCATCGTTGAGCGAGTGTATGACGTCACCTAGCAATATCATTACCACCAGAGTATTCATTTTACTACTGCTATTGCTACTACTTTTTAAATGATCATCATTGAGGTATCCTGGGCCACCAGGAGTAGGACTAACTGGAGATTGGCTGTCTGAACTAATGAGAGTTGGAGTATTGATGTGTGAATGTGAATGTCCTGACTGAAAAATGACGAGAAAAAAACGGTAAATAATTAGATGAGTAATAAACAAAACAAAGCAAGGCAAGGCAAGGCAAGGCAAGGCAAGRCAAAAAGCATGGCAATTTCTTAAAAATTATTTCTTTATCGTTAGCACTTTCACGAAGTCAACTTCATATAGAGCGTTTTCACTCACGTGAGAAGGAAGCCAAGCAATAGAAACTTAATTCTGCACAGTTTTTTTTTGCATAAAGATAGAATTCAGTTCCCGTGGAGGTTATAAAATGTATTGTTTTGGAACACCAACATGGCCGATGTGACGTCACGTGAAAACGCTCTACAGTATCAGTAAAAACAAGAAACACACCTTTGACGATGGGGCTATTGTTAACGATGTGATTATAACAAAATCRCTGCCATGTACCAAATAGTGCCACACTTACCTCAATAGAATGAGTAATCAAATGGAATAGATAAAACACGTAGATACTACAAACAATGACTATGGATCGCCAGAGCACCTGAGAATCGGCATGAGGATCCACCTTGATGCCTAAATACCGAACTGAAATACGAGGGTTGATAGCCTATGGACCATACATAATAAGGGTTAGTCTTGCTTGAAAACATACCCGCGGAAGTTTAAGGTTACCCTCCTTTGTAGGCAACTCCTTGGGCTTCCTTTGGCCTAGGCCGTGTAGACCATGACCTTCTTTCCCGACACAGGAAGTTTAAACTCCAATATCATAGGAAGTCCAAAAAGTCAGTGACGAGATGCCTGTGGAGGAGTTTAATTTTTAAATTTTTAAAAGACCTTTGTTACTGAATTAGTCACGCAACTCGCGTGACTTTCAAAGTCTTTGCTAATGTTTAAACGCAACATGTTGGGCTTGTTAAAAAAAGATGTTGCGCATTATTTAGATGATGATTTTAACAGCCTATGAACGATACACAAGGGTTGATCTGGTTTAAAAGAAAGCAGTGCAACATCGTTGTCCCGCAATATATATTATATCACGCAACTCTAACGTGACTTTTGAAGCCCCATCAAGCGAAGTATTTCAATTCCACGCATGTTGGATCAGTTCCGCACTCTAGTTCAGCACGAGTTGAAGAGCAGTGGCTGAAGTAGCATTTCTAATAATCAAAGTCCAGACATCCTTAAAGTTTTAAGTAACACTAAGTAGTTCCATCAGTTCAGTACGCGGATGATATCCTACGATACCCAGATAGTGCGCACTTCACGCTCCCTCTTTTCTTCAGTGTCAAGTGCCTTGAAGGCGCCACGATAAGGTCAATTCAAGTCATTATATGAATAGGTACCATAGAAAGTCATATATTACTTACATGAGGTATAAGATGGAATATGGCATCTCCAGCAAGACACCCAGCACCAAGTGCCACAAGAAAAGCTATGATTAAATGTCGTATATTCCGCTGAAGTATGGGACAAATGARAACCGCAAATACCAGAGCAGTCCCTAGGATAACCGATACGGACAGTGAAGCGTATGAAAKAGCTGGGGGGAAGAACAATAATGATATTTAAAAAAATAGAATGACAGCTTCTTTGATTATTTGACAACAACAATATTAAATAATTGCTAATAAAACGATTGTCAGTATTTTGTACGTTACCTTTTAAGTGAGRCGTGCGTGGTAGTAGATTCGGCAAAGACGAATGAACACTACAGTTACTCATCTATATATACATATATTCCGAAAACAAAAATAAATGGCTGTTCTGCAGTTTTTTGGTGTTTCTCTAAACTTCAAAGTACCCTGATATAGTGGATTAGTGTTAAGAAAATCTTTCTCTTTCTTCTTCACAAATATTTATGACTGGTTCGTTTTAAWGATCCATAAACGTGTACGACAGAACTACCTGTAGTAACAGCGCACTGGATAGCAGGTATTTCAGGTTTTCTTATGAATTCAGGAATCTTAGCAGGTCATGAGTGGCTTGAAGAATAGTTGTCTAATAGCTTTCTCTGTTCAGGCAGCACAATTAAAATCAAATTGATAAAATGAAAAAGAAAAAAAGGATAAAATTTCCATGTCATCCTTAAGATATTGGAGTATCGACTCAAAGCATCAATGCGCTGTTATAGTTTTTTTTTTTTTTTGCCGTGTGTCGTTGGATTAAAGATTTGTTGTGCAATAATAAATGTTGTTGTGCAGACTAAGAGGGTAGTGTGCATTGACCTAAACAGATATTCGCCTACACACTATATTAAAATACAGATCTATTTTTACCCTTGTTCATTCTGTTTTGATTTCAAGGCATGCGCGCGACTTGAGAAAGTGTCATTCCCCGACAATATTTAGGAACAATTTCATTCTTAATTTTTTCGCTACGCGCTCGTTATGAATAGCGAGGATATTATTTATACTTAACGACAAAACATTTGTTGAAAAATTCTTTAATATTATCTGATCGTAAGGTAAGAAAATCTTGCATGAAACAGTAAAAATATATTACGAAGTAAAATRAAGCGATAAGGTCTCGACTTATCTTAAAGAGTGATGCTTCGTTTCACCACCAGTTTCTTTTTGGCGAACAGTTTTTTTGAATATCAATCGCATTAAGAATTYCCCTCACACTGTTTTCATAATATCCACTATTCTTCGCAAATAACGGTCTTACGTAAGCCTGAGAAAAATTMAAAGAATCCATAAAAAGTGCCGAGTCCCACACAGCTCTTTCTTCACCAAATATCTTCCCCAGGTCAACACCTTCAAGTACGATATTTTTTTCCTGTAACTCAAGCATCTTAATGATCGTAGAAACCGCAATTTCAACAAACACACCGAATTCTTCAAAAATTCGCGTCATTTTCTCAAACGCCATGGCGTACTTTGCAGGGATGTAAAAGATGTTCGCGTCGCCATGGTAACAGTGATATYTCCCACGACCGTTCCATAGTAAAGCATTTAACGAGTTCTCTATGYCCCAATTGGATTCTTCTTTACGTTCGTTATCAAGACCTCCATTTTGCTTGTCCACAGWGTTTAGGAAGATGATCTTTTTGTAAGCTTTCTCGCACGCTTTCATACCCCAAGCCGTGTACCACCAGATCCATTGCTCACGTGACTGCTCAAAAATTGCTTGGTTACCAAGTGTTCTTGTTTGCCATATTCTATGAAGGTCCAGTTCCGATAGTCTCCAGTAATTCACAAATAAGTCAYTCTTAATGAATAAATATCCCTTGTATTTTGGGTAGGCCTTGATTGCGCCCGCCAGACAAGCATAAGCGGTTATCCCATGTTGAATATTGTATATCAAAATGTTGCTTTTACTTCCGGTTTCGAGTGGATTTGATCCACAGAAAAGTATGTTGGGGAAATTGTTTTTATACAGGTCTTYAAGTGCTAGCATCTTTTCGCTGGTGATGTCGATGTAGGCGATGACAAGTAGAATATCTCTCATKGCTTCGGTGTTGCAGATAGGCTTCGAAGAATTTGTCTCGTTTTGGAATGAACTAGCAAAATGCCAACTTGCAATAGTCTGCTGTATCTTCAAGTCGATTGGACCTGTTGGGAAAATGCTCCATAGGTTCATACAAGAGGGATAAGGACCAATCGATTGGGCTCTGACAGTTACTTGTTTACATTAAGGTAGGTTGGCCCTAGTGCGAGAGACGAGGTTAATTTTTTCAATTAACTAGCTATCCCTGGCAGAAGGGTCCCAGAAACCTCATGCAATAGGTGCCTAAACATTTATCAGAAATTGAATATGGAGCGATAGGCCGATCTGATTTGTCAATCAATAGGGATATAAAACTGACCGGTCTCTTAGTAGCAATTTGACAGACGCTATGAATAACACTAGGCCAACTAGAATACGACATAACTACTAGGAGCTAGATAGTTTACCTTGTGAAATTATCAAGATCACTGACAAAGCTGCCACGAAGACCAAGCCAAGGAAACTTAACCGAAGACAGCGTCTGTGAGAAGCCATGAAAGAACAGAGCCGCCATTGGGTAGCTATCTTGATTTCATGGTGAAATTAGTCTGGACACAGAACATGTGATAGAGCAAAATAACCAATCATAAAGAAGCTTAACAGCAGAGGAAATGTCCAACGATTGTACACCTAAGTCTATCTCGTGAAATCTAATTTTGACTTCAAAGAGAAATCCTTTATCTCAAACACATTTAAATTCATAAAACTGATAATTGTAAGAGGCTACTAGGTTTATGACAACCAATTGCGCATGCGCTAGTCCTACTGGTGGCTRATGTGTCCTAGTTCAAGTACTTACTGGTTACTGCTTCACTCATTCAAATACTTTAGAGGTTACATTACCATGTAGTTATCAGGAGGACAAGTGCGACTAAGGGGGAAGGGGTGGGTAGTGAGTAACAAGCATTTATACAGGGGTAGTGAAGGGAATTTTTGTCAAGAGATTTCCCCCTGTACATTTTATCAAAATTGTAAAAAATGGAAACATTTATGAGAACTAACAGTTCTAACATTGAAGAAGTATGTTATATTAATAGTGGCCGGGAAAAGTTATTGATCATTATAAGCTATTAATTGGCGAATTGTTTCTGATATTTGATTGGTTCAGACGGCGGGAAACCATATTTAAAGTCACTGAAATCCAGCACTTTTATGYAAAACCTTCGTTGTCATGTTTGTTGCTAGGAAACGGTAAATATCGCCTAATATCTCACGAATGATACCACAATCGGACTCTACAATGTACCTAGCYCGAAAGAGCAGATCCTGGTTTATAAAAATCAAATATCAAACATTTTTTATTGTTTRGATTGAGCGATTTTTCAGGTCCTAGCTCCCCGACTAATATATGAACTGAAGCCGAGCAAACTGAGGAATCGAAGAAATTGAAAATAACTTCACTGTAATCCCTGGCTCATACATAAACCTTTGTATTTACTAACTCTTTATTATTTCACGGGCCATAGAGAATCATTGAAATACCTGCTGTTTATGGACCTTGTTTTCACTCGTTCTAGATTTGAGCATACTATGAACCACCAACCGGCAAAAGTTTTCTCATAAATTGGGAGTCCCAAGTATGTACTTCTTCTCGCGACCGAATGTTGCATTAAATTTTGTTTTTTTAAAATAACTAAACAAACACAGGAATATATTTCCAAGGCGTTTTGTTTTAAAAAGTAGATTAAGTATGTGGTAAATGAGAAGAAAAAAACTGTTGATCGTGTAAAGATCTTCGATTGATGTTTGAATACAGTACTTTTTATTTGTGTGCAAAGCTACTGGAATTAAGTATGTAACTCGCCAACTAAATCGAATATCGATTGTGTAAAAGCAAGTATGGCTTAGTTGGTATGAATTTCGCTGTAAGCAAAGCAAGAATCTTCAATCCCCAGCGATCTCATACTGGTTTTGACTTCTCCCTTATCCGTGTAGCTTTAGATCGGCTTTRTAGTTTTAAATGCCCTTAAAACGAGCGCTGATAGAGCGAGCGCGCGAGAGCACCTGCTGCCTGGCTAAGTGCGCGCCGTCGGTTTTCTGGAAAACTAGCTAGCTCTGGAAGGCCGCTTCTCATCACAACAATTCTGGATTAATTTTCTTAATTTTCTTATAACGAACAAAATAGAATTGAAAAATAGAAATGAGTTTAGTTTAGCGAAATATACATTAAAAAAGTACTGAAACATTCGTAGCATAAACTCTGGGAAAAGATATTTGAAGCTTGACAAAGATACGTGAAAAATGTCAAGGAAAAATTAAATAAATATGTTCAGAACRGGTTTAGAAGGTAAAGAATGTAAACTCCAGTGTTCGAAAGATSTTGGCGATGACTAGTGGTGATTTCATCTAAATCGGAGGCGAGAAGTAAAAAAAGAACAATCAGAGAAACTTAACACACACTAGTGAACMTAAACTTTTAAATCAAGATGCGTGTTACAACCTGTTCTTCGATCGCTGTTCACAAGACCATTCTAAAGACGCCCTCCCAAACGAAAAATCCTGAAAATTAAACGAGATTTCTCGTACAATATTTCCTTTCATTTTAACCTTAAATAAACGCGGTACAAATAAATGGTTTTGCGGAGTAGATTTATGTAGAGTTCGAAGTCGAAGCGCTGTCCATTACTGAGTGACGCTAGCTGTGAGACATGATTCGTTCACATGACCTAACCGTAATGTGATGTAATTGTTTACYGGTTAAATCGACTGGGGCAACCAGCCGGCCTACAATCACAACTAACAGACACTTCCAGCGGGATAAAAGAGTAAATATCTTCAAGTCGAACAGTTTGCTCAGCGCGATCCCAACGGAAGARAATACCACCTAACGTTTAGATGGCCATTGTCTCGACTGTAATCTAGTTTTGGGTCTTCAAGTGGWATTTTCTTGGRCTTGTTTGCGATTTTATCGACTTTCTGTCAATCTTCTTCCAATCAAAAAGTCGAGCGGACCAAGTTTGACAGCAGCAGAACTCTGCGCGTGCGTAAGGTGGAGTCYGCTGGCGGTAGGTATTGTTGTTATGGTGTTCATACGCGATTGACCCGCTCAAGAAGCAAATCATCAGGGTAGTGATATCATGATGGAAATCACGTCATATTGAGCAAAACTACACCCTTCTCTSTCCGCTCGCTCTCTCGATCCATCTCTTTCATCTACGGATCCCATGAGAGAGGCTGACCAAGGCAGCAGTGTGGACGGTGTTGGACAGATCTACAACTAGTTATGCCCAGATCGTTTCTTGTGAAGAAAACTCTGCTTGGAAAGCGTAAGCTGTCGCAGGAAGCGGACAGCGGTGAGTACCAGCCWTGTTGTTAATTGGACACCAGTTTGTTGATGTTGCTCGCCTACTGCCATATYGCTCTTGCACGGAGTCCGATACCTGGATTAATGGACTTCCCGGCAAGCAAGCTTGAGCTTTTTCGCGATCGTTTTTGCAAATTTGAATCTCAATTCTTACTGAAACCATTCTAATCCTACGATCCTACGATCCTACGATCTTCATGTAAATCAAATTTCTGAGCGYTTGACGCTGTTTTGACTTGCATCATAGAAAAATAACTTCTAATCTGACACCAAACAAAAGCTGAACTCAATTCAAAACTAATACTCGAAATTGTCCCAATATTTTTATCATTCTTGGTTTTTCATTAATTTTTTTTAAAACACAATTTTTTTTAGTTAAGAAATCAGAAAAAGATGTTTGTTATCGTTACGGGGTCACGAAGCATTTTGATCCTGTAAGCTAACGCCCAGCACCAACCYAACAACCATAGAATATGAATAATTCAACAACAAGCTATGTTTCTCGCCGGCTTCAAATGCACTGCAGAATTGATTCTCGAAGCTCAGGTTTTTTCCCTCAAACTAATTTTCGCTTTAAGGTGAAGATTGTTCAGATTCGTGCTCTGTAAAACGGGATGGCAGAGAGAAGAGTTATTCTCCAAGAAAATCGGCGATTACCGGTAGGTRATACTAAACGGTGTCAAACAAACAGGTACCAGGTGAAGAACCGTTCTGGAACTCTTCTAGAACTCGAAAATCTCTTGATCCCAATCAAGTTCAAATAWATCAACCTCTCATTTCGAAAAAATCTATGAAACTTTGACCAAAACAAGTCTTTAGATTCTCTTTTTCGTGTCAAATGGAAAAAAAAACTTCCGTTCGCGAGGCATTCAACAAATAGAAAAGAAATCGTCTTACTTGTTCATCCCGCCTTCTTTTGCTGAAAAGAATACTACTGACTGTATCTTTATATATATGTACTTCTTTTCTTCATTTCTGGGACTGTATACGGTTAAGTTTTATTCGAATATCCAATCTTAGCAAACTCGCGAAGCACTTGTTGAAATTAGAAACAAGTTGAATCTTTTCGCTTCAATAGGTTTGGGTAAAACATTGAATGTCAGCGCATTTCAATATGTTTAACGCCGTCTTAATCAAAAAAGAACTAWGGATATTTTGTTGTTGGAYTTTTATYTCACWCTTKAAATTWTTCTGTCTTCAAAGAGTTTATTTTYCCCCGTYTTTGAAAATCTAAATTTATAAAATCACGTAATAACTTGTTCATTTTGAACTTGACTGGAGTTCGTTGCGAAGAGATCACGTCATGAGCGCGGCCCAAATGTGGTTGAGTGATCTGATTCAGTGATTTTCAACCTGCTTTTTGAGATTGAGAAAGAAAAATATCAAGTTTTCCGCAATACTTTGGAAATATATCTTCGCTAAAACGGGTTTGTTTTTGTCATTTTTTGCTTAGTTCAAGTTTGTCATCACTCTCATTTATCATGACTGATTTGCGATTAGAAAATTATTGGACAATAAAAAGTTTATAATTAACCACTTTTCACCTTTAAGTGAAAAAAAATTACATTTCTCGAAGTTTTTCTTTAAAAATGTCTATTCAGTAAAGAAAAATAGTAAGAATGGAGTACGAAAAGTGTAGTTTGAATCGATGCCGTCTGGTTCAAGCGTCTTCCACCCACAATGCACTACTCACTGATGCATGCGACGGTGAATCTCCGAATTCCACAAATTACGAAAGGCTTTACTAGCATACAGTTAATTATTTAATCTATTTTCAAAATAACTTTAATCAACTTTTGCCTCAGTAAATTAAAAATAACGTGAAAAAGATTTAGTATAATGCAAGCGGTTTGATTATTCCAATGATTACTTTGCAGTTAACTTTCACATGAACGAAACTTGTAAGCCAARACTCTATCAGAACATTCAAATGGCTTCCGAGCTCAAGTGCTACACTCTAATTGGATGTACTGCTCTGTAATGCTTTCTGATTGGCTCAAATTGGAAACTATTTAAATGTTACGAATATTCTAGTCCTTATTCAACTCGTAAAAAAWACTACAACTGGTKACCTGTTTTCTCATTTCTCTGTTTRTGTCATTATTAATTTTAGGCTTATATTTCATTGTAGTYGTGTAGCGACATGAAGCAAACGACGCCTATACTTTCTTTTCCTGTGATATCATAGCTTCAAGCAGGTGGCTGATAAAGAATTGCTCAGCTTCACGCGATCTGTTCATCCTATAAACAGAAAGTCTGATAAGRAAATTTCAACTGAGAAATAAGTTAYCAAAAATTTAATGTTTTTTCGGTTTTGTTGCGAACTGTATCCTTGCACACTGTTGTCATTTTTCTCCTATAAAACAAAACGTCTGATAAAAAAATTAACCTAGAAATATTTAAAAAATTCTTTGATTCTAATTTGTTGGTTACCTATATACTAAAAAAAGTTTTTTCGGTTTTCTTTCCAACTGTGTATCACTGTATCACTGCACCCTCTTGCCATTTTTCATCCATTTTTCTTTCTTCGTTTTTCTTTTATTCCTTTCGTCTTCCTCCGGCCGTTTTATAGCATTTATTATTATATTTTTGTTAAAATTCTTCCTTTTTTGTAAACGTTTTGCATACGGATGTTTGAAACGCCTTGAAGCTTCCAAAGGTTGTTTCTTACTAGCTAGCCCCTTGTGAAGTTCCTTTCTAAATCATTTTTCTTTCACAGAAAATGTTACAACTCAGCGTGAATTCATCCAGCCCAGTACATAYCCCGTGCCTAACACCACTCCTCCAACCTACTCAACTAGTTTTACCGGTTTTCATCACAATTTGGACACGCACGGCCTTCACACTTTAGCAGATCTTTGTCTACGGAGAGCGGAGTATAAYACTACACAAATCACCTCTCCACAAACAACCACAGATTTACCAAGTTATCAAAACGAAAAGAGTGGAAAATTCCAGACAAACAGATTAAAGAGAGAACAAGACTTGTCGCCGGTTGAGTCTGTTGGGGAAACATATACAGAAGACATCAAGGAAGAGGATGGYTCGGATAAGCCTATTGATGTGGTTGGAGATGATGAAGAAATAAGAAAAGGTGATAAAAATGAGAATGTTAATACAGCACGGCTTGAGAGACTTGAAGATGAGTTGGAAAAGATGTTACAGTAAGTATTTT